ACTAGCTGATGACGGATAGATACAGTAGTGTACCAATATCCTCGACAGTGGAGGGACCAGCTGATGACAGATAGTTACAGTAGTGTACCAATATCCTCGGCAGTGGAGGGACCAGCTGATGACGGATAGTTACAGTAGTGTACCAATATCCTCGACAGTGGAGGGACCAGCTGATGACGGATAGTTACAGTAGTGTACCAATATCCTCGACAGTGGAGGGACCAGCTGATGACAGATAGTTACAGTAGTGTACCAATATCCTCGACAGTGGAGGGACCAGCTGATGACGGGTAGTCACAGTTTTGTACGAACATCCTCGGCAATGGAGGGTCTAGTTGATGATGGATAGAGACTGTAGTTTACTAATCTCATTGTTTTGTTAGTGGAGGTACCAGCTGATGACTGATAGTTACAGTAGTGTACCAATATCCTCGGCAGTGGAGGGGCCCAGACAATGGGGCTGGTGACCGGGCCCGTACATGGCAGCTGAACTAGACAGCAGCCGGAGCCGCGGTCGTCGAGGATTCTCAGAAACAACCAACCAGACTCCCGTCGCGTTTTTTCCACCTCCTAGTGATGCCAAGTCTTGAAAAGGGGAAGTGTTGAGGAATCGGACCATTCCATCCATATGGTTACATAACACTGTTTTCACTCGGTTGTTAAGTGGTAATATCACCATATGTAATATTTTTACACTGCAAGTTTTAATAACGATTAATGTTGGTTGACAAAATTACATACTTTATAGTTGGCTACCAAATTAATACCCACAACGTACTGACCCAAGTATATCCTTGTGAAGTTTATTCACTGTGTTAATATTATTGCTTTTTGTCTTACGGTAAACGCATGGATATTGAAAATATAGACAATGTTTGATAAACAGGCTTTGGACCGTCTACAATCTGATACAGATACAAAAAGAATCCGGCGTTGGCAACTACAGTTGAATTAGAATCTAAATACTATACAACCGCGTATGTAACTCACTCACGAGCCAAAGGCGAGTAATGAATATACATTTCAAACTTTTTATCATCGCTTACTATCTTTACGGCATGGAACCTACTTAATGTACACAAGATTATTAATTCAATATTATTATTACTATTCAATTCGTAGATATTTTACTTTTGTCTTGTGATTAAAATAATTGGAAATCTATTGATTTGTTAGCTAACGATACCGATTTCATCGACTGGTGTATAGCCTAGATTGCAGCGTTTGTCCAGAGTGTGTTTCCACCAGACTGGCACAGCGGCGGCCTGTTTATCTCTGCTGATGCAGTTTGTCCAGAGTGTGTGTTTCCACCAGACTGGCACAGCGGCGGCCTGTTTATCTCTGCTGATGCAGTTTGTCCAGAGTGTGTGTTTCCACCAGACTGGCACAGCGGCGGCCTGTTTATCTCTGCTGATGCAGTTTGTCCAGAGTGTGTTTCCACCAGACTGGCACAGCGGCAGCCTGTTTATCTCTGCTGATGCAGTTTGTCCAGAGTGTGTTTCCACCAGACTGGCACAGCGGCGGCCTGTTTATCTCTTTTGATGCAGTTTGTCCAGAGTGTGTGTTTCCACCAGACTGGCACAGCGGCGGCCTGTTTATCTCTGCTGATGCAGTTTGTCCAGAGTGTGTTTCCACCAGACTGGCACAGCGGCGGCCTGTTTATCTCTGCTGATGCAGTTTGTCCAGAGTGTGTTTCCACCAGACTGGCACAGCGGCGGCCTGTTTATCTCTGCTGATGCAGTTTGTCCAGAGTGTGTTTCCACCAGACTGGCACAGCGGCGGCCTGTTTATCTCTGCTGATGCAGTTTGTCCAGAGTGTGTTTCCACCAGACTGGCACAGCGGCGGCCTGTTTATCTCTGCTGATGCAGTTTGTCCAGAGTGTGTTTCCACCAGACTGGCACAGCGGCGGCCTGTTTATCTCTGCTGATGCAGATTGTCCAGAGTGTGTTTCCACCAGACTGGCACAGCGGCGGCCTGTTTATCTCTTTTGATGCAGTTTGTCCAGAGTGTGTGTTTCCACCAGACTGGCACAGCGGCGGCCTGTTTATCTCTGCTGATGCAGTTTGTCCAGAGTGTGTTTCCACCAGACTGGCACAGCGGCGGCCTGTTTATCTCTGCTGATGCAGTTTGTCCAGAGTGTGTTTCCACCAGACTGGCACAGCGGCGGCCTGTTTATCTCTTTTGATGCAGTTTGTCCAGAGTGTGTGTTTCCACCAGACTGGCACAGCGGCGGCCTGTTTATCTCTGCTGATGCAGTTTGTCCAGAGTGTGTTTCCACCAGACTGGCACAGCGGCGGCCTGTTTATCTCTACTGATGCAGTTTGTCCAGAGTGTGTTTCCACCAGACTGGCACAGCGGCGGCCTGTTTATCTCTGCTGATGCAGTTTGTCCAGAGTGTGTTTCCACCAGACTGGCACAGCGGCGGCCTGTTTATCTCTGCTGATGCAGTTTGTCCAGAGTGTGTTTCCACCAGACTGGCACAGCGGCGGCCTGTTTATCTCTGCTGATGCAGTTTGTCCAGAGTGTGTTTCCACCAGACTGGCACAGCGGCGGCCTGTTTATCTCTGCTGATGCAGTTTGTCCAGAGTGTGTTTCCACCAGACTGGCACAGCGGCGGCCTGTTTATCTCTGCTGATGCAGTTTGTCCAGAGTGTGTTTCCACCAGACTGGCACAGCGGCGGCCTGTTTATCTCTGCTGATGCAGATTGTCCAGAGTGTGTTTCCACCAGACTGGCACAGCGGCGGCCTGTTTATCTCTTTTGATGCAGTTTGTCCAGAGTGTGTGTTTCCACCAGACTGGCACAGCGGCGGCCTGTTTATCTCTGCTGATGCAGTTTGTCCAGAGTGTGTTTCCACCAGACTGGCACAGCGGCGGCCTGTTTATCTCTGCTGATGCAGTTTGTCCAGAGTGTGTTTCCACCAGACTGGCACAGCGGCGGCCTGTTTATCTCTTTTGATGCAGTTTGTCCAGAGTGTGTGTTTCCACCAGACTGGCACAGCGGCGGCCTGTTTATCTCTGCTGATGCAGTTTGTCCAGAGTGTGTTTCCACCAGACTGGCACAGCGGCGGCCTGTTTATCTCTACTGATGCAGTTTGTCCAGAGTGTGTTTCCACCAGACTGGCACAGCGGCGGCCTGTTTATCTCTGCTGATGCAGTTTGTCCAGAGTGTGTTTCCACCAGACTGGCACAGCGGCGGCCTGTTTATCTCTGCTGATGCAGTTTGTCCAGAGCTTGTCCCAAACACCTTTTTATCACTTCGATCCACCCAATTTTGCGTCGCTTCACAACTTTTTCATCTTTATCATCAAGGAATCTATGTTTTGTTCCGTCGAAGATTATCTTGTTTGTACTACCACGTTTCGTTTTGTAAGACGTCATCGTCCATGGTTGAAATAAATATGTTTCAAATATCATAGCTTAATCAGTTCGTGATATTTATCACGTGTTGTAAACGAACTAATGTGTCCTATTCCACAGGTATAAACATTCACTTGTGAATTAATGTATCAATACAGTACGAAAATCCGTAGCCATGTACAGCTTTGATGCTCGAACTAAGACTCTTATTTTCTACTTCCACATACTTCTGAGATAAAACGATCTACATAATTATAAAACCCTATTCTTACTCAAGATAAAAATATTTTTGATTTCCAGCAGTTGAAATACTCGTAAACAAGTTATTGTTTTAATGTCTGTACCCACTGCCAAACTAAAGAACTGCGTTTTCTTAAAAAGGACTTTAATAATTAAGAAGGACTAAAAATTATAATTTTCAGGTTTATAGAAATTTTTAAGTGTATTCCTTAATATTAAAAACAATATGTTTGTATAATTATGTGGTTGGGATAAACATGAAATATAACAAAGTCTTAGTCAAAGTTTGCACACAATTTATTACAAGATCAAAATATAGAAGAACAAAAGTCTCAGAACCTTAAGACTGCAAACAGTCCAAATTATTACGTATATCTATAAAGATGTGGATATAAAAAGGAACGTTGGTTTAGGATATAATCTATAAATACTCAAATAAACACAGGAAAGCTCTGCCCAACAGCTAAAAGATAACAAAACTATAATCGAAATAGACTGTGCTAAACATATTTTTCAACTGAAATTAATTCAATATTTATTGATTTTTAAATCTACAAAACAGCCAAGAGGGGAAGAGCTTTTGGCTGGTTATCTACCAATGCCCTAAAGGAAAACTACAACATTCACAACAATAGCTTGGTGCGTTAAACATGGTTTAACCCTCTTTGCCTGCAAATATGCTGGGTAATTGTCTAGGAATTTTACATTAATCAAACATTAATTGTCGAGGAACAAATGTTTGTTACATTTTAGAAAAAATTACAATGTTGCAAAACTTATAATTTGCTAAAATGTTCTTTAAATTTGTGCAACGTCACGTCAGATTTCTTCGTTTGCCTTCAATTCTGCAATCACGTAATTTGTTTATGATGGCATTAATTTGGCAAATCATAGATTTCGCGTTATTAGCGCAGCTGGACAAGATACATTGTCCACAGCAATGACCGGCTCTATCTCCACCTCAACAAAGATCGGAGACGGGAACTGGTCATAGGTGTTCCGAGCCTCCGCATTCTTGTAAGGCCGTTACTATGAAGCACGAGCCTCATAGTCGCAGTTTGATCATTGTAATTAATGACCGCTGCCATTCTAAGCGTCTCGTAAGAATTCTAACCGCAAAGCACATCCGAACTAATTAGCCTACAACGGTGTCCGCGACCACCCGAATGGTCGAAAATCGAAAAGGCGCGAGCTTGTCCACTAGTAGCCCTGTTCATAACGCGCACTCACACGAACACCGACACACGCAACACACACACACTCACCAAAATAATTATTAAGAATTCCATTCTTCCCCTCCTCGCGGTGTCGATGCCCTGTCCCCCTCCAGGGTCCGAGCCGGCGTGGGACTGGGACTGGTCTCCGTCGTCAGGTGCGCGCCGTGAGGACGAGGCAGTACGGTCAAGGCTGTAGTGCGCGCTAGTGCCTAGTGGATCATGTGCCGTTGGAATTGTTGTGTTGCTTGACACATATTGCCGACCAGTCAACACATAGCCAGGTAACATACAGTATCTACTCTTCGGAAATTACGTTCAGCTCATACATGTGTTAAACGTTTATCACGATTAAAAATGTTGTTTCTAGTTTGTTAACAATAACTCTTCATTTCTCGATGACTATAGATTTTGCGAGGATTGCCGACCAATCAGCTTAGTTTAGCAACACTTTGTTTGGGAAGCTTCTGTACTATCCGACTGTTGAAGTGCCCGAAACTTAAAATAAATGTGAAATATGCGATCATTTTGAACCTAGCCATGTCTTACGTTGATTCAGGGTGACACTTTATAATTCCATTAGAATATTTTTGTGAGCGTTGCCGACGCTAGCTTACAGAGTTTCAAATACTTGGCATGCAATACTTCTGTATACCGCCTCGTTAAAGTCTCCGTACTCAGATGTGTAGTACAAGTTGGTTGAGGTTGAAATGTCGGCATCTGTTTGTTGATAATTGAATATAAATCTGTAAATATTAAGGCCAATCTTATCATAGTTTAGTGGGATACACTGTATGTACCACATCTTTACTAGCCAATCGTTGTGGGTAGTGTAGGGGCAGTAGAGATCAGCACGAAGACCAGACATGTGTTACATGTTTATGCAGATAAAAAAGAGTTATTCTTCTTTTACAAAGATATATGATGTTTGTGTAGTCACTATTTTGGATACTAGACTGCACGTAGATATTTTGTACGCAGTACTGTGTACTAGCAACCATTTAATTCTTTCAAAAGAATAAACATTATAAAGTTACAATTATTAAAACTGTGGTATAAGCCGCAGGTTTGTGAATGCCTAATTGAAATAATAACTTCTATTAAATGTTACCTACTTCTTATATTATTCATACGAGTTAAATTTTATTTGTGTTGTCAACCAGTCAACTGATAACAAGGCCGACGAGTGCTTACTGCTAAACACTTTTATGCTAACCAATAATTATTCAAGTGCTTAAACGTAGGTTTACTATAAGGAAAAATAATATATTATTGACTAGAGTTTCTTTTTAAGTTTCACAAGGTGACCTTTTTTCAAACAGAATCAATATCATTAATGTTTGTAGTTGCATGCTTTTTAAAAGGGTTTAGAGCACTTCAGTGCAATATCACCGTTAAAGTCTCCCAAGTTTATAAGCTCATAAAGTCTCATAATTTATTTAAATATGTTCGGTCTAAAACAAGTAGTGTAGCCTATTTGCTGTTGAAAGCTTAAAAAGAAATACACTGTCCTGTGCTAAACATATGTCAACTGGATTCTACGAATCCATGCATTATATTTAGGATTACAGTGTACAAATAACATTGAGGTTTAGGTCCATGCCGACTGTATTAAGCATGTATAAATTTGTGGAAGATGTCTCTATAATACAGAATGTAATGCTTATAGTTTATTGTATGATTATTCTACTTCTATTATCGTTTTAAACATTTTACAATAAGCAAACTAAATCCCATGTTTGTGTGTCAGCTAGTCTACTATGGAAACCAAAACAATATTATTTGGTAATTTTGTGTAAAATGTCTTTGTACTAAAATTAACATATAAAAAACTTTATACTTGAAGTAAAAATCTAAATTAAAGACCAATTATATTGGTAAAAACAATTTGTTTAATACTTTTGATTTATTTAACATGATTGTAAATAGTCTGGATTAGTTTCGTATGCTACTAAGAGATTTGTCTGCAAATCCCAATAAATAATAAGCCTTAACATTCCAAGACAAAAACAGCACCATATTATTAATAAGAATACAAATGTTTTATTTGTCCTTATTTAATGTTTAATCTAGATCTTTCTTGGGCACATGTAAAGATAATTATTCTTGAACTTTCATTGTCAAAAAAGTTATCATACAGAAATAGTTCTCAAATAAAACTAGGCTATATCAAATTTTAGAGTAAAATACAATATGAAAGCAATATTCATACATCAAAAATTAATGTTGTATTTCATTTGCATAGCTTATGGTCTAAAAATAGTAAAAAAAAGTATAAAAAAAGTGAGACAGTTCCTTATTATTAATTTATAACGTTAATTATTAGCACCCTTGTGGCCGTTAACATCTCAAACTCTAAACTATTTACTAATTAATTTAAATACTACTAGGAAAGTTCACTTTTTACATAGGCTAATGAATGAGTAATTTAAATTTAATGAATAGTAATAATTATATTCTCATTCGAACAGTGGAATGCCATTATCTGCAGTTGATCTACATCTTCTACACATCACTGTTGGTACTAAAACATTTAAATATCGGTATAGTTGTTATGGGAAGTTGTTTTTGAGTACCCTGATGATACTAACGTTCCAAAATATATTTATAACATATTCCACACATATTACACTCCATCATATGTCTTTAAAATATGTTTAAGTTGAGCCACGAAAAGCTGCTACCTTTTATAATTTAAATCATCTCAAAGATTTACATGTTTATATGATTCTCTACTAAATGTACGGCAATATTATAAAAGATTGTAAATAAATTAAATTGCAGCATATGTATACAAATTAGATCCAATAAAAAAATACACTTTTATTATTGTCTATTGTTGAGTCTCCTCAATAAAATTTGGGTATTTGTAATGCATACAAAGTTGTATTCATACTTAAAAGTGTATGAAGAAGTAAAAAATAGCATAAATAGTGAAATTTTAAAATTTTAAAATTTTACAAAACCTTTATGGGGAAATCCAACATTCTACACTGGTAATTCTTCATCGGGAACTACAACATTTTGCTTACAATCAACTTGTTGTGGTCATCGTCCTATCTAGCTCGGGATATTGTCCTATGAACCTACAAAGTCCCCAACCAGTAGTATGGGTAGAGGGCCCAGCCTTGACCAGGTGTACGCTTTTCTTCAGGGGTTAGGTCAAGCAAGAGCTTATTTTAGTAGTAAAGAAGAGGGGGAGGGAATGTGGTCTTCATGTTACAAGATAAGCGTGTAAGCGTATTGGAATATACCATCGAATTGATGTTTGTTTAGCAGAAAATGGTGGGTCCATTGAAGTGTCAATCGGTTACAAACATTTACATTTCCTGTATGATTAACGCATATCCTAAACTACCCCCCTAAGACATTGTTCCACTGGGCTTCAAAGTTTTCGTATCCTCATATTTTGTTTATTTGTTTGTATTTCATCATATTTGAGTAGTTTTAGGGTTGAAATATACCATAAAATATATGTCCAAAACAACAAATGGTACATTGAAGGGTGCCAACCATGTATAACAATCGTTAACATATCAGATGTTTAGCAAATTTATGTTTTGTGTTCTTTCGTTTTCCGCTCATTCAACGACTACACCTCACCATTATTTTATATAACTGTTGTATTTATACATTTATACGCACACACACCGCATACAATCGCGCCGCCGTCACATCTGGCGGTAACAGAAGGCCTGCGTTCCAGCGACTCGAGGTTCAGTTAGTTCTGGGACTTACCGTTCCTCACGTCCGGGATGACAACGGTTCTGCGCCGACTCTGGTCTTTAATTGTTCTCCAGCTCTAAACCGCTCTATTACGCCGGAATACCCAATTAAATGATAAGTACATTAACCTTATTACGCCCGGACGTCCTCCGGTAGGAAAATGATTAACGTGGAAGTTGAAAACTTGAAAATAGGGAAATCAAGCGAGAATATCGTTGGGTTTGCTAGGGTTTCTTGTTTCATGCACTTAACAAAACTGTAAAAAAAATGGCAAGTTGAACATGCAATCCTAATCTAAATAATTAAGTAATGCGGTTATTTGTGTAATGTGTGAAATATTTAATAGAATAAGGCAATCGACTAATACCAATCTAACGTAATAGTTTATGAACGTGTGCGAAAACCAGTTAAACTGTAAAGAGTGGACAAATACTTGCCTTAAACATTTGTACTGTATAGGTATGAAACTGCTTCTTAACTTCTTTCACTTTTTATAATATAATAATTTTATAATACCTTTGAACTGGTGAGTTTGGATTGTCACTACTTGACACCTTGACCTGCATAAAGGCTAATTGTATTAATAAAATACTTAACCTGATAATGCAAATCTTAGAAAATAATTTATTGGAAGAAAGTACTTTTTTAGCATCTTTTACATTTTTAATAAAAAAAGCGAAACAATTATTTGAATTTTATACTATTTTTAGACAAAAAAATTTGTTTGATGGAGACCTTGCGTAGCTAAATTTACTACCAATATTCATTCTTTGCATTTCCACGAGTTGTGTGATTAACGAACCTATTTCCAACACGATGTCACCTAAACGTACCCAGTGTTAACTCGGAACACATCGACTACGACTAGGAAAACCACTCACTTACTCTTTAATTGTTACTTAATTAATTAACGGTTCAGTTTTCGCCGGTTGGCCACGCTACTTGGGCATCTGTGTCGTCAATTTTCACCAACCTTAATAATCCATGGCAAGGAAACAAACCGTTTCCATTCCATGGTTCCATATATTTAACAAGGAACTCGATTGAAACGTGCGTTTGCACACGGTCGGCATTCACGTAATTTAAAAACTTTACTCGTGCAAAATATATGACATAGCATTTTAAAATTATTTTAGTTTCTTTATGTGTTGATTTGTCGTCAAAGTATTGATTACTTACAGCAACTGTAGGTTTTACACTTGTTTTAATACAATTCAGTGTTTTTGCAAAATGTTTTATCGGACCCTTGGCAAATTGTTACATTAATAGTGTATGTTTTCTCATTGACTTGGATAGTTGTATCAATTGTTAAAGGTCGTACCATTAAAAATATATTATGTACTGAGCGTTAAACATCACATTATATATTTTGAGTACTGCTAGGTAGACTAGAATAAAATATGTTATATAAAAATTGGAAGAAAGTTATTGGATCCCTACAATGTCACTGTCTTAATTTTATACTTTTATTTCCTTCTTGCGCCTAGCATTGTATACATCTTGTGCAGCTTTGTCGATACAGTCTATACACTCTAGGTCACCGGCCAACCCAATCAAT